GGTGCAGAAATGTAATAATTAAGTGTAAAATAACACAATAGTGCTCACTGCACAAGTTAAATACAGATTAATCTTTGTTAGAGCTGTGGTGTTATTTGATTAGCAGACAGAAACGGGTATTTATTGGCTGCTGTCTCTTTAAGACTAAATGCACGGACCTAATACTGACACACATCAGGTTTTTTTCTCAGCTGTTTACGTTCACTTAAGACATAACCGACTGCGTTTACTAGAATACTTGCCAAAACGGGTATTTTAACATAACTTTGTGTGTATGTGAAAGAGGAATCAATTCGCTGTTCACGTGGTGTCTCTCTCTCTGCGTGTGTGCGGCAGCGGCTGAGCGCACAGAAAACAGCGCGCCAGTTAAAATTGCTTGAATGTGTAAACTGGCAAGACAAAACATGTGCAAATTATAAACTTTAACTCTATGATGGTTAAACTTAACCGTTAATCCGCGAATCACATGCGTGCCGAACCGTGCCGCCTGATCCGTATGGATCACGGATCATCTACGACTTTTTAAAACTAAAACAAAAGATGGATTCATTGTTATTTTTAATTAAAAAGTACAACAACAATAAAAAGTAAGATACAATCACAAACTAGCTTACAAAACGTTTATTAACAAAAATGAATAAGATGAGGCATGGCATATACACCATGCTGTAGGCTATTATATGCCGATTAATAAATTACAGAACATTTAGCAAGCACTGAGGAGTCAAATAAAAAAATAAAAGAGAGCCTCCATAGCGTAACGTGAGGTAAACAGCAAAGACAACAAGCTTTTCAAAATGAAAAAAAAAAAGAAAAGTAAAACTAAAACGTTTTTTTCCTCCCACAAGAATACCAACATGTTCACCTTCTCTGGTTTAAGAAGCGGTCTTTTACTTTACTTCAGCTTGAAAACCATCTATCATTTCCTCAATATTCGCGTAATTTTTGCTGCGCACTGCACGCACCTTTGCACTCCTGCTGACGCGGCGAGTAGGCTCTCTAAGCGTTGCGCAGTTCAAACGAGTAGCGCGGTTTCATTATGCTTTCAGTTTCGTTTGCCGTTTGATGTTTCTCATATGCAACAGAAATGGCAGCGCTTATGAGTTGAACAACACGGTGGTCGCGCCAGTGCGACCACACACAAAATTTAGTCGCACAGGCAGAAAAAATGGTCGCAGTCTGGAGTCCTGTTCATGAGGCTGTTCTTATGGCTCGTTTCCACTGAGCGGTATGGTTTAGTACAGTACAGTACGATTCGGGATTGTACACCCTGATCCGTCTTGCGTTTCCACCACCAACAGTACCCTTATAGGCGTGGTCTATGCCGGAAAGTAGCGACGTCATTCTCGCGCAAGAAGTGTGTATGTGTGTAAAAATATAAAAGTCTAAAATACACCGTTATAATTTTTGTGTTTGCGCACTCTGATGTAAACAAGCCCAACACACATGAGCAGCATGGCGGAGCGAGTGAATGAGACGCTTCATTCCCGTTGTAGCATGCGCAAGTGACGATTCTCTGTCAACCAATCAACGTTCTGCAGTGAGTCTAGCTCCACCATTTAGGTACTGGACTATTGTGCTAGGTACCCCAACAGAAGGGTCCCAAAAAAAGGTACGGTATAGTTCGCTATTTTGGTACAATTCAGACTTCAAAACAACTTCAGACAACGGAAAAGGAAATAATTGCGTACTGTATTGTACTGAACCGTACCGCTCGGTGTAAACGAGCCATTAGATACTCATACAAATTCTGAGCAAAATTTTGTTTTCTAACTTACCTTGTCCACATGGATGTAATAAAAGTGGTCTTTGTGATAGATGGCTTTGAGAAGACGTTTCAACTGTCGGACTGCTCGTCCATGAACCACCAGCATAAAAACCACCCTGACTGGGTTCTCTACCTTGGAGAGGTCGGTGTCGGCAAAATCTGTATGCTGGATGGCACTGGAGATCACTAAAGACGGACAGGGAGAAAACAAACTCTACATGTCTATTAACTTTCAAGCATGACTGGATGTGGATATTAGGGGTGCGACGATAAATTGATTCGTGGATCGATTCTGCGATTTTCGTGAATGCATCACAATTCTCTCTTGAATCGATTCTGAGCTTAGTTTTTAACAGCAGATGGCGCTCTAGGCTAGTTTTGAACCGCACACTTAAATGCTCACGAAGAAGAGCACTTGTGTGTTCGGCTGAGTAATGTAAGTGGTTAAATGTACTTGACCCTAATTTATTAATGTAAACATTAATAGATTCATTAATTAATGTAAACATAGCCCACTGTGAACACTCTTGTAATTCGCTTCAACCTTTTCAAACTTTATGAATGATTATTTTAGGTTTAAGTGGTGTGTGTGTAAGGAAGTGGAAGCAAGCAGAGTACGGCTGTTTCTAAAGTACACAGCGCCATCTGCTGTTAAAAACTAAGCTCAGAATCGATTCAAGAGAGAATCGCGATGCATTTGTGAAAATTGCAGAATCGATCCATGAATCGATTTATCGTCGCACCCCTAGTGGATATGATGGTTGAAGGAATGCATTTACCATGCTGTGGGCAAAACTGAGGCAGAGACTGAGGCATGAGGTGTCCCGCTTGGTGCTGGCATACGATGTTGGCGATCTCCTGTCTGCACTGCCGCGAACCCGCACGGTGGAGGGCAGACAGGGCGTCCTTGCCCGAGATCTCACATTTGGGCACAAAGTCACTGCTCGGGACTTGAGGAGCACCCTCAACGCTGCCAGGCTCTCCTGGTGCTACTAGATGGATTTTGGCCATTTCCCCTGCCTTGATCTCGCTGAAGTTACGGCTGCTCGAGGGATCATAATGGGCGGCTTTTTCAACCGCCACTCCATCTACCAGCCCGCCAAGACTCTTGTCCTTCAAAGAGGGCTTGTTTCTCCGTCTAGACCCCCTTCTGACGATGGTGGTGACAGCAGGCTGCTCCTGGCGCAGCCTCGACTGGCCATGATTCGCCCCAGACAGGGCGTTTTGCCTCTCAATAGCCACAGGGTCCATCTTCTGCTCCTGTCCATTGTGGTCGGGCAACTTCGACCTCCTGTGTTTCCGCTGAGAAGGAAACAGAGTAAATAAATCAGAGGTGTTATACCGAATCCCTCCACATCAGTGCAAATGAGAAAATAGGATCAAACTTTATTCTCAAAGGAGGAAGTCTGTTTTAGAACAGACGGATGATTTCACACTCTGAGAACAAACTTGCTGACGTTTCTGGGAGCCCAGAGGCACAACATGTTTGCCTTGTTTCTCATTTGTTGTTTCCCTGGCTCCAGTTGTGGCTATTTTTAGCATTGTTTAGTGGCGGGAATCAGAGGAAGCAGAGATCCGTAAATGAGGATAGTGACTCACAGAAGGAGGTTTGGGTGAGAGCTCGGCCAACACAGAAAAACACTCAGTGCCATTATCTTACAGCACTAACAGCAGCATATTTTAGGGGCATTAAGATTTACTGCATTAAGCAAGAGTTAGGTGTTTCACTGTGGGAAATCATCAGCTGAGGTGCAAAGCTCTTGTGTGATGAGAGCCTAATCTGGGCACTGACACGTCAGCATTTTAAACAGTGTGCTCCTTGATGTATTAAACCGTTTCACATATGCTATAAAGGTCCATTAAAATGATCCTAGAATTTACTGTATATAGTGAGCATTTCCTGGTGGTTATGTGGTGTACTCAATTTATAAACAAAATCTCTAATTGCATCATCACTAAAAATGTTCACAACTCTTCATTATTCATATATAATATATTTTACTAAAAATAATTGCAGGTAAATATTAGGGCGGTTATTGGTCTCCGGTAACAATTTTAATCAATCTTGATTTTAATGAACTGATATTGATTCTTAAATCGCAAGATCGATCTTTTAGTCTATGCTGTTTTCAGTTGATGCATGAACAAAACTTCACAAAACATTATTTGTGCACGCCTCCAATCCCATAATCGAATCGAGCATGTTTCTTTGTTACTTTTGATATGAAACAAAGTTTCAGCTTTCAAATTCGGTAACACTTTATTTCGATAGTCCACTTTAGACATTCTATTAACAGTAAGTAACTTTGCAACTACATGTCAACTAGCAGTTAGTAGAGTATTAGTAGACTGTCTGCTTAATATCTTCTAACACTTTCTTTGTCAACTTATTCTACTAACCCTAAACCTACCCTAACAGTCTACTCAGAGTTAGTAGACATGTAGTTGCAAATTAATGAGAATTAGTTGACATGTAGTTGACATGTAGTTACAAAGTTACTTATAGTTAATAAAATGTCTAAAGTGGACTATCGAAATAAAGTGTAACCTCAAATTCTGTTCAAATTTACAAGAAATTCAAACAATAAACGTAGTTTTGGCGTTTTTAATTTGGCATGTCAGATCGCTGTAGCTGCCTTAGTTTAAGCGGCACGTCAACCGATATTCTACTACAAGTTACAGTACAAAAAACATGAATGAACATCAGAAGGTGTTGAAAGAAACAGTACAATTTACTGAAATGTATCGTGTCAGGTAATCGCTCAGTGTTTCAACCATGTAAAGATGCCAATAAAACTTGAGAATAATATTTTATATTTACCTCAGGAATATCATTCAATGTCTACAGCTCACTATGTACTAAAAATGAACTCTAGAGGAGCAATTTGCTAAATATTTGTACTATAAATGTTTATTTTTCAACAACAATTTGACGTAGAAACAATTATATCATCAGAAATTTGACAAAAATATACTTGCAATATGTGCAATATAAATGTTTGTATACAATTTAGATTTAAATTGAGTGTTAAATGTATCTAAAAATAAACTGCAATTTCATAGTTTAGGCTCTGTTGTTCATTTTAATCTGTAATATTACAGTAAAGCACCAAGTGAGAATGTTAGCTGTATAGTTTACGGTTTAAGAAAAATGCAAAAGTACCTTAAATATTTCCAAATGAATCATATGGAATTGAAAGCTGGAGAATCATAATCGAATCAAAATTAAAACTGCATCAATACCCAGCCGTAGTAAATATTGCTGTTTATTACAATGTATTGATATAAATATAAATGAAATTAATTAAATTACAATCACTTTTCCTTGTGTTATATTTGATGTCCTAACTATTTTAAATCTATATGCCTACAATAGTTTGCTTGGTTGTTGGTTCAAAGCAAATACAGAAGACTGAGATATATGTGGGTCAAAAACGAGACGTCATCAAATTAAAATTTACAGAACTGATTTTATATACATAAAAAGCATACTGAATGCAAGTGTCTACTTTAATGTTTCAAATAACTTTTGTAAAAAGTCAAAATATGGGTGAAATAATGTTCCAACCTCATACAGCTTAAAAGATACATTTATGTAAAAATGAAAAATCAATTATTCTGACCTGTACGCATTCAAATATATATATATAAAAAAATAAGTGACCATTCTACATTTTATTATATTTTAAATGGTTAAAAACATCTTGCTGACAAATGGGTAAAATTATTGATAGTGTCAAAGATTGGTAAAGATTTAAAATGAAACTTAATTCATTTTGTGGGGGGGGGGTCTGTGATTCTTAAATAGTCTCTTAAAGTCATCTAATGATTCTTGTTCTAAATATGCCCGACAATATTTTTTTTTGGCATATGAACTATTGTTACACTTAATAACATTTTAGTGGGTGTCTTCTGTAAATCATGGGGGAAAAATGCATGATAGCCATTCATTTTTGTTCAGAAAAAAAAATAAAAAATACAGGACACATTCTAATTTTCAGAGAATTTTTTTTAAAGCTGTATTAAACTTATTTTGTTTTGATGCTTGAAACCCCCTTTTCGTCTTTGACACGTACAATCTCAGATGTGGTAGAACAAAGTTGACAACGTACTGATGTTTAAGTTGTTACTATGGCAGCTGATGTACACTTACCAGACACAATCTGAACAAACATATTTCATCACATGCAGAATGACAGTGTGAACAATGAGTCCTCAACACTGGTGCGCGCGGAGCGAACCAAACCTAAGAACAGCATGAGAAAAGCCTTATCAGCACACCTGCCAGTGATACTCCAGTGCTGAGCACAAACAAAATGGCTTGAGGCATGTGGCCACGTGGCCTTCCATTTTCACACAATCCCAAACAAGTCCATTATGCTACATATTTCCTCAGCAAACCCAGATGAGCTCATGACTGCACACACCTCAGTGTAATGCTCAACACGAGTCCCATGATAACGTGAAAATAAGATCAGAGCAAGCACAGCTTTTACGGTTAAAGGGGTCATATGACGTTGCTAAAAAAAACAAACATTATTTTGTGTATTTGGTGTAATGCAATGTGTTTATGCAGTTTATGTGTTTTTTAAGGTTCAAAAAACACATTATTTTCCACATACTGTACATTGTTGCTCCTCTATGCCCCGCCTTTCTGAAACGCGTCGATTTTTACAAAGCTCATCGGTCTGAAAAGCGAGGTGTGCTCTGATTGGCCAGCTATCCAGTACCGTCGTTGCAATAGTAATCCTGCTCAGTATGAGAGGAACAGCAGGTTCAGACATCGTGTGCTTGGCTGAGGAGCCACTAGTGCGAAGCTACCATCTGTGGGATTATGACTGAACGCCTCTAAGTCAGAATCCCGCCTAAACGTAACGATACCGCAGCGCCGCGGGACTTTGATTGGCCTGGGATAGCCGGTCGACCCCCCGGGGCCGGCCGGTGTGGAGAGCCGTTCGTGAAGTAGTTTTGCTTTCACAACGAAACACACAGCGCCTTCACGACATGGCGGCGGCGGCGACAACAATACTACAGCGAGAATCAAAGTTACGCCTTCTTTCTTTGCGTGAACATTTGGGCGGTGTTATGCAAATCTTCCCACACAGTGACGTAGACATGTGGGGGCGTGCTTAAACGAGCCGTTTTAGGAGGGTGTGGACGAGTCTTAACTTTTATATAGAATATCTCTTTGGGTATGAGACTTTAGTCTTTGCAACTTTAGGGATCATATCTATGCACGAACAGCTTGTAACACTCCAAAGAGAAAGGAAAACTTGAAATGGCATCATATGACCCATTTAAGGTTCTTACACACAGAGTCCGAAATTTTTGCACGTTAAAAAATAAATATGACCTCACGTATTTATTTTTTAACGTGCAAAAATGTCGTACGAGAATTTCGGACTCCGTATGCAAGGACATTAACAGTAAGAGCTGTGCTTGCTCTGATCTTATTTTCACGTTGGAGAAAGTAACGCGCGAAAATAACGTGAAACAGCACAAAATTTGTCTAGTGCACACATATTCGACGTTGTTTCTAAGTGATTTTTTTTCCATTTCATGCATACCAAGAAATGTAATCGTTCAAGTAACTGTGTACCAGAAGGAAAGTCCTGTATTGGTTCCGTTTGGTAACGGTTGTTGCTATCACACAACCCTCAACATTGCAAGTAGAGTAAATCACTCAATTATGCTACTAAATTTGGTGCTAGGTGACAAAATAATGTCTGTATTTAGCCATTGGCTAATACGTTATGGTTGTACTTATTGTCCGCACATTGAGAAAAAAAAAATCTATCTCTGTTCCATACCTGCAAATAATGTATAGTCCTACAAGGCTATTATTATCAGAGCATGTGTGCAGAGCATAGCGTCACGAGAGGGTAGCGTCATTTTACCAGCGTCGCCTAGTACAGCTGTACTACACCATGTTACAGCACAGTAGCACTACTGCAATCAGGAGCAAGTATACTACATAGAAATTTCCTTTTGGCACGTTATTTGAGCGGACTTTGCTTTTCCTTTAAGCATGAGCGATACACGAGTAGAGCGTTCACATGGGCCGTGAGCAACTCAACGGAACGCACATTCATAGAGCGGAATATTGAGCAAAGCATCACACCGTGCAGTGACGACGGCGGGAGAGTGAAACCTGTGCGCTGAACAATGCTGGGCAATACGGCGTGCCATATATTTTCGTCCGTTTTTTTCTCTTTCAGCCAAAAGTTAATGCATTAACTAACGTTTACTGATGAGACTTTATTGTAAAGTGTTACCTATTGTTCTTTAGAATTCATTTGCAC